CCCCCCCCCCCCCCCAACTCTAAGTGCTTCAGAAACTATTTATTTCTTTTTTGGACTGACCCATGTTATACGTGTAATGCTTTTTTCTTCTTCTTTTTTTTTTTACTATCAACCCTAACGATAGTTTTATCCCTGGTCCCTGTGAACTTCGTTAAGGATGTTCAATGAACACGGCCGTATTTCCCATGACAACCAAATATTAAACATTTTTCAGCATTATTTTAACAATTGTTTATGTTTCAAAAATAAACTGTTAGGCCTATTATAATTATTTGTTATTATTATTAGTAGTAGTAGTACTTTTATATACCGCGGTACCCCAGCCTAGGACTGGGCTCACCGCGCTGTACATATAATTTAACAAACATAGTCATGAACTTAAAAATTAACATACAATAATGAAATAAAAGAATATATATATATATTACATTGGAATTTAGAATTAGAAGTAAAAAAAATTGAGGGAGGGTGGGGTGTTGCAGAATTATGTGCTTTGGCCTAGATTGCAGAAATATTTAAATCCGGTCCTAAATTTCGTATGTTCATTTACACAATGACATGCTTTTTTTTTCAAATTACGGGAGGGGGGGGGGGTTAATTGTGTTAGAATGTATACTCTCTTACAGCACAACACCAAAGCGACTGAAACTAGTCCAATTTAAAAACTACTTGACTACAATTTCACTAACAACAAGTAGTCATGGGGTTGTTGTTTTTTTTATTTTGCTGGCAACGATGCCATGAAGTTTGAAACATTATTCGAAAACGATAAAAGAATCATGGGGGTCCACCGGGGGGGGGGGGGGGCGGCGCGCGCGCAAAGGTAGGCAATTTTGCAAACCTTTTGTCAAAATACTAACACTTTGATGGAACAATACTATCATTTTATCAAAATACTATTATTAACATTTTCCAGCTTCTAAAATGTACTGACTCGATTTTTCAGTCATATAACCTACTATCACTTACTTTAACCAACTATAGCCTATTATACCTTGAACATAATTTATCAATTTTGATATTTGTGGTCGTGAATAGCTATGCAATAAAATATTTTTGTGTTTGTTTATGGCATCAGAGGATTTGTGGTCACCAAATTTAATGTTTAAAATTCTTAACATTATATTGTATTGACATAATATGTGATAATACAGTATAGCTAGATTGACATAAACTTAATTAACTCATTCAACAATGGGCACTCAGAAATTGTATAGTTTGAAAGCCCAGCCAAAGGGGAACAGCTCCATACTTACCGCAGATAGGTATAGAATTATTTGTAGCTAATCTTTTTAACGGTGTACTTATGTACATTGCGTGCCACGCTTATACGAAACAGAGCGTTCAGCACCCAAAAGAATTTGACCCAGGAGTTAGACTACCAAAGCATTGCATGGACAGCTTTTACCCCAACCGCTTATAAAGAAACCACAATTTGTGCTCTTTGTATAAGTATAATTTATTTATCGGGAGCCCGTGGGTATTATGCTATAAGTTATATCTTGTCGGAAAGGGGGATTGTATTCTCTAGGCCTATACCTTAGTATGTTTACAAGTCTGCATCTTTAGGGGATATTGTAAGACTATGTAATTAAGGAGTTTCCCCATTCATAAATGAGTGGGGGGGGGAGGGAGGGGCCAACGCCTTCTTTTTTAAATATCCCTAAGACCATTTTATTAAATAAATGTACAAGAGACAAAACGCGAACAGACACATATAAGTTTTGGTGTTTTGGTCCAAGATTTTTCTTTTATTCGGTTTGAAGTCTCTAGGGATTGTCAAATTACCGCAGGAAATCTGGCAGAAGTAAAGTAATAGGTCAGTCACTGTGTTAAGTAGCTGCTCTCTGGTATTTTCGAGGGACAAATGGGCTTTTGGATTCAAATTTTTAATCGCATCCTTTAAGTGCGCCTGTGTTCACCGGGATCACCTGGACGCTTTCCATTGTCCATTTTCTTGGGATCATTTTGCTTCGAACTTTGTCTTAGGATTTTCCTTCTACTACTCCTTTTTATGCAACACTCTAAGAACCAACATAGGGCTATAGTATACTAAAAGCCTGCATTTCTTTAGTTTACAAACCAAATATACGTTTAAAACTGCCAGCTACTACTCACCACTCGGCTACATTTATATTAAATACATTGATTTGCATTCATCATTGGTTGATTTATTTGTTCTATACCATTATTTTCGAATGCGTTTGTTGTGTAAATAGTTAACAAGTTCCAACAATTAAAAAAAAACAGCAAATAACTTTGCTTCCCCACAGTAACTTCTGTGAAAGTCCAAGGACAGAATATCTCAAATATTGATGCCCCACGTGTAGTATAAGCCTTTTCAGATATAGATATCTTTGTAATAGACTGATACCTTACTTGTTCTACTTGTGAGATTGCATCATTTAGAATTAATTAGAAACAAGATCAGATTATGTGCCACTCAATGCACATAACGCGTTTGCCATATTTTCCCATACAGGGTGGGCTAATGATTGGAGCAGGCCTATAGACTAAACACCACATTGTTAGATCCAGAGGCGTAGCGAAGTGGGGCAGGGGGACAGATGTTCCCGGGCGCCACCTAGTTAGGGGCGCCAAAGTGTGCTTTGATATTAATTTATTGATGAAAATAATGGGTTTGAGAGTTGAAAAAAAGGAAAAGGGGGCGCTTTAAAATGAATGTTGTCGCCTGGCGCCAAACACTCCAACTACGCCTCTGGTCAGACCTTCCTTAAGCCTAGACCACATTGTTAGGCATAACGACTAAACACAACAGTGTTAGGCCAAAAGACTAGTTAGGCATCAAGAATAGACACCACATTTCTAGGCCTAAAGACTAGTTACCAGATTGTTGCATTTTTTATCACATTAAAAACAATTTAAAAAAAAAAAAAGAATTCTTGGTCTCACTGCTGTCGCTGATCCCAGGTTAGTTACGCCACTGTAAGTCATTTACTTTTCAAATAGGCTACGTGATGAATAAACTGAAGATGTGCAGCGAAACAGTTTAAACCGGACTGTAATAATATTTAAAGCATCAATCAATTGATAGATAAAAATAAATTTATTTAAAGATTTCGGGATTGTTTTAATGCCCAGAGTCAACGAATTAGTCTGGTTGTGTCGGACTACCGTAATTTAAAAGAAGTATATTGCAAAGGGACATATTTTGACAGTTAAGTTGGCAGCTTCCTTCAGTGGCGTAGCTAGGTTTAGTGCCGCAAGGGGTGGGCCAACATATTTCCCACTTTCTTCCGCGAAAAATCTCTGCAGTTGCACCAAAATCCATCTCCTCCATACCAAAAAAAAAAAACCCCCCCCCCCCCCCACCAACCTCTCCGGGTGGACCGAACCACCTTCTTACTCAAATTCTGAACTCAAATTTACGGACTTTAGGATTAAAGCAATAGACTTCCCACTTATTCCCGGTAAATCAAATGTTAAATTAAAAATGTTCTTGCATTGCTCCATTGTTTAAATATTAGAAGCAATTATCTTAATCACAAGCAATGTAATCAACACGAATTTCCGTGTTTTTGGCCCAATAAATGCATCTTATCTTATCTCTTATCTTAAAATCCATAGGCATACTATTGTGATTATATAGTAATAGTAGTGTGTCCGTGTGTGATTATCAATGGACGTCCAGCCTGCCCTCTCCCCTGTCCCTGTGTCACCGCTCTTTCCTATCGTTACAATAAATACTACATGTGTAGCTTTAAAAAAAAAAAAAAAAATTTTTATTAACGAAACGCCAAACGTGTGTGATTATCAATGGACGTTCAGCCTGCCCCCCCCCCTGTCCCTGTGTCACCGCTCTTTCCTATCGTTAAAATAAATAATACATGTGTAGCTTTAAAAAAAAAAAAAAAAACTGGAATGAACGAAACGTCAATGTCAGTTGGGTTCTTTTAAAAGCTAAAAGTGATTTAAATGAAGCTTGGATCTTTTGTGAGTTCATTAGTCGCTGCTATTGGCATTGAAAACATTTCTACATATATTTTATTTGTCGACAGTGGCGAATTTCGACCAATGAGAAACATTGCTAGCTGTTTTCCCCTGATGACAGCAGCCATTTTGATGAGCTTTACCACACCCTGTTAAGTGAGCAAGGATTTAGTGTAAAAATTCATGCAACTGGGGCCTGTAAAATACAGCCCTTTTGCAGTATTAAGCTCGCTTGGAAACTAAATGGAACTTGAAAATATTGTCGCGAACACAGTTTATTTGAAAGCACGCGAAGGTGAGCTGAGTGTAACGTATTTTCCAAATTGCCCTCGCCAAGCAGGCCTCGGTCATTATCCCGGTTCGCTGATATTGTAATAGGAATCAAAGAACCACCATTCTATATTTGCAAACTATTTTACATGATGTTCAAAGCCATTTACCAAATGCATATAGTATTCGGTTCTTAAATTGTTGCTCTGTATGAATTAACTCTACCTCATGCATATGCAGGCAAACATTCTTCTTAAGTCTTAGTCTTAAGCATGAATCATAATGACTTATTAGATGCATCACAATCATTGTGAGTGACAATGATGATCAATGACACACTTTTTTTGTTTTTGGCAACTCTTCTGTCTCTATCAGTCCCTGTGATAGTATCTTAGCATGAATATTTTAGGCTGTAAGGTAATGGTTAAATAGTATTAAAAGTTAGTGTAAAAATACTAATAGTAAATATACTTTCTCTGTTGTCTCTAGACCAGGCCTCCTGCACAACATACGGCCCGCGAAGTATCGAAATATTCTTTATTCTAATTTTTTCTTAATAGCTCCCCCCCCTGTCCTATTTTCTTTTGGCCCGCAAGCGTTTTTCATAAAGCGTTACGGTCCGCCTTACAGGCCTGCTCTAGACCATCTATCAAATTATTCTAATGCTTTTGTTTAGTCAGGCCTGGTTGATTTTGGGTTAGCGGCCACGGAGGTTCCCCCAGGTCAACTTCCGTCTACAGCGACATACAAAAAAGATTTCGATGTTTGTATTCATATAATGAAATGAAAGCAAGTTTTTGTTCTCTTTTTGAAACTGGGGAGTGGGTCTCCTCTTCCCAGTCCCTAGATCATTCCAAATGCATTTTAACATGCAAGTGTTTCGATTTTCAACTAATCAAAATACAGCAGACTTTGGCACGCATCTTTTTTTTCACTGGTGTTGGGTCTTGGGGTATCAGCAAGGATGTTTTTATTTTTTACTTTCTTTTGAAACGTGTAAGTTGAATTTTAATACAAATTAATGGAAAATTTCATTTTAATATACTTATATTAACCGTATCGTTTATGACGCGAGTAATGCCCAGTGAAGAACAGGAATATTATCACAAAAATTGTTCAGGTCCTGCAATTAATAGGTCTATTGACCCAAAGTCCAGTGTTGGGATTCCCCAAAGTGACGTCACTGCGCTTAGGGTGAGACAACTCTTGGCAAAACCCATACCGTTAACCTAAAATTTACCACCAGGCCTAGTCTCATGAGTTGTCAGAGTTGAGTACCCAGATAAGTATACCAAATACAATTGTTTAATTAGGCTAATCGTAATAAAAAAAAATTAATGTAAAAAAGCAAGACAAAATACAAAATGATATGCATGGTCATTCTCAGTTCGATAAATTATAGTATGTATGGCATCTTTCCGTCTGGGGGAGACGATAGATTATCTTTATTGCTTGCAGCTCTTGGTGTGGCTGGTGAGACCAATCCTTGAATGGCAGTCTCTGTTACATTTCCCACACACGAATGCGGTGGAGCAGTATTTACCGGCCTTCCTCCTCGCTCTTTTTGCAGCTGTTTCCGCCCTGTTTTGATCCTCGGCATGTAGTGATCCTGCCTTCACGATGCCCCGCCATGAGGATCGATCCTCTGCCAACTCCTCCCAGTTTGAGATGTCGATGTTAGAGGACTTCATGTCTCTTTTGCATATGTCTAAGTATCTCAGACGAGGCCGTCCAACTGACCTTTTCCCTGTCGCCAGCTCGCTGTATAGCACGTCCTTTGGTATGCGACCAGATTGCATTCGCTTGACGTGTCCAAGCCAGCGGAGGCGTCTTTGGATTAACATGGCTGGGACGCTACACATGTTTGTTTGGGACAGGACATCCGTGTTGGGGACTTTGTCTTGCCATTTAATGTCAAGGATGGGGCGCAGGCATCTGAGGTGGAAGCCATTGAGCCTTCTTTCGTGTTTAGAGTATGTGGTCCACGACTCGCATCCATACAGAAGTGTGCTCAGTACGCAGGCCTGGTACACCTGCAGCTTAGTTCTTGTTGTTAGTTTGGCGTTTGACCAGACTCTTTTCTTCAGTCTGGCCATAACAGTTGCGGCCTTCCCTATCCTCCCACTTATCTCATCCTCCATTGAGAGGGTGCTCGATATGTTGGATCCCAGATATAATGTAGGCCTAATAATAAGTGAATAGTTCAGAATAGAATCGTGCCTAAGCATCGGCATGGTCATAGGCATAGGCTTAAATAAAATTCATCTTATATTAATAAGTTAATAAGTAGGCCTACCTAAGCCTACAGAGAGTTTGTCATTGTGTTGCCTATTAGGTTTGCTCAGTGTAAATTTGCTCTGAGGAGCCAAAGCAAGGAGGAAAGGAATTTAAGGCTAAAGTAGTGTTCAAAAGGTTAATGTAACAAATCTATACAAAAACACTGCAAGTTTTGCATGTGTTACATAAATGATAAGTTGAAGTTTTATTTTTATAAAGGCCTATAAAATACCTCTATTTCTTTGTGGGTGAGATCATAGCCTTATACTTGTTTGTATTATAATGAACATTGAAAGTGCGGATTGATTTCCCCCCCCCCCTCCCCCCCCAAAGCACATTAAAATAAATCTCTCTCTTAGCTTGTATTGAAATGAAAAATGAAATCATATGACCTTATAAATTACCTAATCCTAACTGTCACGATTGGCTGTTTCCTCATATCCACCCTTGCCTGTCATTCTCTCCCCCTCCTCCCCAATCATCATAGGAATTTAAAATAAAATATTTCTTTATTACAATTACAGAGCTACTTTATTTGTGGGTAGAAAGAGTAAAAATTTATAATTCATAATGTAGACCAGAAGAAAAAGTAAGCGCCCCATGCATACAAAATATTCACTCCAAAAATTTGCCTCTGATCTGGGATTACCACCAAGAAATGTGAAACCTTGAACAGACAACTTTGTGTATGCGATCATGAGTTAAAATATTTTCATTTTATATTTAACAGTTTATATTAGTGGTAATCTAAAGAAAATTTTTTGAATTCATAAAAGGTTCTATAGAATTGTCTTGGAGAAAGCTTCAGCTGTTTCAGGCGTTGCTTTATTTAAGTCATTGCATGATGCACAGACTATTTAATTTTGAATAGCATGGGGAAGGTGAAAAAAATGTATGATAACTGCAGAGCGACTACCTATCCATCCCTGCTGTGCTACAGTCCATGTAGGGCTTTGGCCTTCCTCATCACATCTTGCCACTCAGACCTATTCTTGGATTCCCAGCTGCTGTAGATGTTTTCCCACATTATCTATCCATCTAAGCCTAGATCTGCCTTTGAGCTGTTTTCCTCTAGGGTTTTGTGGTGCAACCTTTTCACTCCTCTGTAATTTGGCATTCTTTCTAAGTGTCCTACCCAGGGTAGCCTGTCCTTTTTCCTTTCTGCTATTAGTGTGGGATCTTGATATAGTCTTTACAATTCCTGGTTGGTTTGTATTCCCCATTCATATTCATCCTTTGTTCATCCATATACTTTCCTAGGAACAATTCTCTCACATTTGTTTAATATATTTGCTGCCGTTTTAGTTAGGTCCAAATTTCAATTTGCCGTATGTTCCAACTGGTCTGATTACAGTTTAATATTAATATTAGGGGTCTTACATAGTTTTCGTTGGTTTTCGTGTAATGTTTGTACTTTTGAGTATTTTGTGACTACTGAAGTATGTCCTGTTTCTGGCTAATATTCTTTCTTTTATTTCTGTTAGTAATTCATTTTTTTTCATTTATTAAGGATCCTAGGTATTTGAATTGATGTTCTTTGTCAAATGTGTGGTTTCTAATGGTTTCATATATGGTAGTCTTCTCTTAGCTTAGTCAGGTCGTTTGTTTTTTGATTAACTTCCAGCCCTGCTTGTAGTAATGCATCTTCTATTTCAATAAAAGCTTTTAAAATGCCTTTGCTACTTTCCCCCTAACTGTGCTATGTCATCAGCATATGCAAGATACTGAAGCATTGTTAGTAGAGTGTGTCCATTGGTTGTGGGTCTTTGGCTTCCCTAAAAATGTATCCTGTTATTGTTCCTCGAGTGTCAATATGTAAGCTTCTTATAATTCTCTGTTAGGTTAAAACGCTTACAAGATAGTGAGTCTCCTTGTCTTAGGCCTCGTCTAATCTGAAATTCCCTTGAATATTCTCCCTGAACCTTGATTTTGCTTGAATGTTATATGTAACAGTCTTGTCAGTTTGTTGGGAATGCCAAACTCCTGCAGAGTCTTCTAAAGATATTTTCTTTTGATGCTGTCATAGGCCATTTTATAGTCCAAATAGAGTTTCACTGGGATATTATATTCGTAACATTTCTATAATAGGCATCTGATGGTGAAAATCTGATCAGTTGTTGATCTGTTCTGTCTGATTACACATTGGTATTCACCTAGTATATGTTTGGTTCACGGTTGTAGTCTTTTGGCACTTAGTTTTGTCAGTATTTTGTATGTAACATTTAATAGGGAAATTCATCTATAGTTTGTGCATTGAAGTTTGGAAACTTTCTTGACTTTTGGGGGCTATTAGTGCTTCCCATTCTATTGCAATTTTCTCTTCTTGCCAAATTTTAGTTATAAGTTTATGTGTCTGAGGGTGTAGTTCTCTTCCTCCATATTTAATAAGTTCTGCTGTGATGAGGTCTTCTCTGGGGGCTTTGTGGTTTTTTAATAGAATTGATTATTTCTGTAGTTTATTTCAAAGTTGGGGAGTTAAAGGTTCTGGTCCTCCATGTGGTGGTTGTTTATCTTCATCTTGTCTGTTGACTGCATTAAGTATGCCCTCAAAATATTCAGCACTTTAATATTTCCATAATTAATTCTCCATCATTGCTCTCACACATTTGAGGTCTGGCTTGGTATCCATTCTTGTCCTCTTTTATCTTCTTGTACAGTCCTATAATATTTCCCTCTCTTGATATGTCTTCTATTTCTTTAAGTTTACTTTTTCCCATTCCCTTTTTTCTTCTCTTTTTGTGGCTCTTTGGTAAGTGTTTAGTAATTGTATTATTTTTCTTGTTGATTTTGGCCATTGTGAATTATGCTCATTTTCTGCTTATATTTAACCCTTGCAAGTAGATGGTCAGTCTGCATCTGCTCCTCAATAGCTTCTTACATCTAGTATGTTTGACCCATGCCTCCAATCAATTAGCGCATGATCAGTTTGGTTATGAGTGTTTCCATCTGGTCAGTTCCAAGTAACTTTATGTATATTTTTGTGTGGAAACTTGGTGCTGCTGTCATTCCTTTTCGTTAAGCAAAGTTTATGAATCAGATCCCAGTCTGATTGGATTATTTATTTAGACTCTACTTGCCAATAGTTTGCCGGGCAAAGACTACGTATTTTAGCCAAAAGATAACTATGGGTAAAACCAGCAGGCAGTTGTTTGATGTTTGTGGTCACCTTAGGGGGAGTAACAAAGGAACTGCGCTTCCTTCGGTGTTTCCCCTGCCCAAGCAACCAGATATTTTCTGTAATTTCTTTACAAGCAAAGTAGCTGACATTCGAGCTGAGCTTGATCGTCTTGATGCCCCTCCCCTTGAATTGCCTCCTTTCCCTTGTCTTACTTCCCATTTTAATATTTTTAAACCTGTTTCAGAACTTGAGGTAAAAAATATAATCCTAAAATCTAAACATACGTCATGTTATTTGGATCCCATCCCAACCCCCCTGTTGGTTGAGTCATTAGATATCTTGCTCCCAACAATAACCCGCATAATAAATGAAAGCTTATATTCTGGCACTGTTCCGCCTCTTTGCAAATCAGCTGTCATCAAACCATTGCTTAAGAAGCCCGGTCTGGATGAAAATAATTTAAAAAACTATAGACCTGTATCTAACTTATCATTTTTATCTAAAGTTATTGAAAAACTAGTCCTAAAACAACTTTTTGCTTACTTAAATGATCACTCTCTTCTCAGTTCTAATCAGTCGGCCTATAGACATTTCCATAGCACGGAGACAGCTCTCTTGAGAGTCAGTAATGACCTCTTGCGCGCAATGGACAGCGGTAATGTCTCCATTTTGATCCTCTTAGACCTCAGTGCGGCCTTTGACACTGTTGACCATGAAATCCTTTTCAAAACCCTTGAAAACTACTTTGGAATTTCTGGTTCGGTTTTGGCTTGGTTTAGGTCCTACCTCTCTGATAGAACGCAAATGGTCTCTGTCGATGGCTGTCTCTCCGGCAGTGCTGATTTGGTGTACGGAGTGCCACAGGGGTCCGTTTTGGGTCCGGTTCTATTCATAATGTATACCAGACCACTACTCCTCTTGCTCGGGAGGCATGCTGTTGAGAACCAGTCATTTGCAGATGATACACAGCTATACATGCATACCCATCCATCTCTTGTCGATTCCGCTGTCCAGACTTTGCGGGGGTGCATTGATGATGTCAAGTCTTGGATGACACTCAGCAAGTTGAAGCTTAATGATGACAAAACAGAAGCACTCCTCATTTACAATCACAAATCATCCTCTACCTCAACTCTTCCCACCTCATTTCAAGTAGGTAACTCCGACATACAGTTTACACCCTCTGCTAGGAATCTTGGTTATATTCTTTCTAACAACATGTCTCTCGATAAACATATCTCTCACATTTGTCGTTCGGCATACACCGCCATCCGTCAGATCAGCTCCATCCGCCACTACCTGACAGTTAGCGCAACAAAAACTCTAGTCTGTGCTCTTGTTCTCTCTCGTCTTGACTATTGCAACTCACTTCTGTCAGGTTCACCGAAACATTTTATAGAAAAACTGCAGAAAGTTCAAAACTCTGCTGCTAGGCTTGTTCTTAAGGCAAAAAAACGCGATCACGTCACTCCACTACTCCACTCACTACATTGGCTCCCTATACAGGCACGCATTGACTACAAGCTGTCTCTTCTCTGTCACAACTTTTTCTCGGATTCCTGCCCTTCCTATCTAACTGAACTTCTTTCTGTCTATTCACCCCTTCGACAACTTCGCTCCTCCGCAGACTCGCGTATTCTGTCCGTTCCCAAGACACGCACTAAATTATATGGTGAACGATCTTTCTCTTTCTGCGCCCCCAAACAATGGAATTCTTTGCCACTACACATCCGCAATATAACAACCACACAGGCCTTCAAAACTGCACTCAAAACACATCTATTTAAACTATACTACTCTGACTGATTCTCCTCCTATAAACCGATAAACGTACATGGGTTTCCTTGTAAAAATGTCTGGTGTGGGTGGATGAATATACCTATGGTGTTGTTTTGCTTATATGTTGTTTTTATTTTTTATTTATGTATTTTATTTTAATATTATGATTATGCCTCTTTGCTATATATGTACAGCGCGGTGAGCCCAGCCCTAGGCCGGGGTACCGCGCTATATAAGACCACTTATTATTATTATTATTATTATTATTAGAAACACTTTTTCTTTTCCAACTTTGGCATTACAGTTGCCAATCACTATCAATATTATGTCATGGTGCCTCATCATAAATCTTTTCCAGTGTCACATAAAAAGATTCTTTTTGCAGAGAGACTTTTTAGGCAAATATCCAATACTAATTAAAACATCTAGAGTTGCTTCTTAGCCTGGTTAACGTTTTCTGGTATCCATAGCTGAACCTGCTGATAAATTGGTGCAACCCTGCCCATAATCTTGCTCACCCCTACATCACACACCACAATGCAAGTCATGTTAAAAAATTGTAACATCCTGTACAATCTAATTTGATGCAATTTTTGTCAGAAATTTATTGTTTCCACTTAGTGTGCAGCTATATTGAATGCAATTTATGCTTTAAAACAGAATGACAGACAGAGAAGAGATATTATTTTTATGATGTAAACGGTGAGCCATTAGAAACTCATTAACAATAATGAAATCAGATTTATTACTTAAGTTCAGCTTTTCAATTATTTTAGTTAAAAGTGTATAGAGGTAACAAAGTTAACATTGTGCCTGTTTTAAAAAAAAAATATTGGTTAGCTGGAGAGTTTACTTAAATGTATAAACTAAACACATTTTGATTTACAATTTATACATAACCATCACAATCTCCTTTCCAGCAATAACTTTATCTTAGCTTATCGTAAAGCTCTTCCTTAAATTATATTGATTGTATTTGTATTGATTAATGGCTGATCACAAAGGAGCAAATAGTTTTTATTCATAATAGCAAGGATAATAAAAAATGTCATACGACTATTTATAGGCTATGTTCTAAATTCAATTTTATATATAGAATTATAAAACTAATCCCAAAACTAATGAGTTATATCAAATAAGGATTCAGCTAATAATTGATTTTTTCTTGTATATGGCTGGTTTCTAAATCTGAAAGTAAAGTAAAATCAATGTATTCTTTGGCCTTTCTCTCTTTCTTTTTCCTTGTGGATTCCATGTTGGGGATTGTCTGGTGATGCTATATGGGGGTTTTGGAGAGTTTGCCCTGTTTACTTAAGAAAAAGATGGAGGTAAAGTCTTCATCAATGGGCACCTGGTATGTCCTTTCCAGTAGATCTTTGTTGGTGATGGTATTTGGCCATTTGATGTTCAGGATCTCTCTAAAGCATGTGTTTATGAAGGTCTGCACCTTTTGTGTAATATTCAGTTTTTTGTTCCAAGTTTCTGCTCCATATAATAGGACTGTTTTGACATTTGTTTTAAAGATTCTGACCTTGGTTAGCAGCTTGAGCTCCTTCGACTCCCATATTTTACAAAATTATCTGAACAAGATTTTATTATGGTTGCCATGCAGATGTGATATTCTAGAAGTTTTTTGGATAGATATAGATTCAAATGGTTCAACATCAGGCACCAATGTATTAATTTGTTGGTGATTTCAAGACTATTGCCAAATACAAACCAGTAAACGTATGAAACTTGTGAAGATGTTAGGCTAAATTGAAATCCATTGGTGCTTAAAAATCAAGCTATTGAGTTTGTATTAGGAGTGCTTCAAAATGAGTCAGATTGTCATGAGATGGCTATCTTGAACATAGAGAGTTCACATAAGAAGTAGTCTTATCTGAATTAAGGCTCTTGGTAGTGTTAACATAATATAACATTTTAAGCACTGGATGACGTTTCCTAATACTTCTTATGCTCCTCTCAGTGGTCTCAATTTGATATTATTGCTGCAAAATTACCAGTCCACTTCAAATGCTGTGTCCAGATCCGGAGTGAATGCAATGGGTTGTCATTTATGGTGGAAGAGTCATACTAAGGTGCCATTAGCCCCTTTTCTCTGACAGAGTAGACCTTGAAACAAAGTGAGAAATAGCATTACGTTTCATAAAAATTGCTTTTAATGAAGAATTTGATAGGGCAATACAATATTCTTGTAATGAGTGTGCAAACAAAACATTGGTTAAGTTTGTTGGTCTATACTCTTCTCAATTCTTCAAAATTTTTAATTTGGATACAACCTGCCTACATGAAAATATTGGTAACTGGGGAAAACTCAGACTCAATGTGTACATTGAAAGACAGTTGCTAGATCATTCTTCTTTCTCTATATTTTGAGGGCCCACGATCAATGGATTGATCATTCTGGCTCCTATGTTTCTGAGGGGTTCGCGATGTTACTGTGCATGGTTTTCAAGGGGGTAATTCACGGGTTTCAAGGGCTACTCGGCAAGTGTTTTATGAACTGGGTTTGGAAGACAGGAAGCAAAAGCTGCAAATGTGTCAAGTGTAGTCGCCTCAACTGTTGCTTTTGGGCGCATGTTCCAGTCCCTTATAATATTGTCTTTGGCAGGAATGAGGAGCTCCTGTACTGAGTTCTTGTTTTTGTTAGCCGAAACTGCCTGTCTAGGGGGGAGATGGACGAGTTTCTGTTTGATGCTGGAGCAGTGGACCAGCCCATTTTTTCACATCTGTGAATGACATTTCAGAGAGAGATTTAGCACTTGCAAGTACTTTAAGCACTTCAGTAACCAAGAATGAGGCATAAAAACATCTTCTCCATCAAATTGTTGAAAACCACAGAAAACATCCAAAACATATCAGATTAGTGATGTAATCAGTATTAACAAACCTTATTTATCATATTTGTATCTGCAAGAGTATTGTCCTAAACATTACAGGATATGTTAATATATTTTTAAATGGGCTATGTCAAACTTTAAGCCCTGAGGCAGTTCTCAGACTTAACTTTTCATTTTGAATATTGTTTGTGTTATTTGTTCACTAAATGGATTTTAAAAATGTAATTGCACTTAAATGTTATCAACTCACAATTTTTTGAACCACTCCAAGCTTCTATCCATAAAGCTAGTGGCGCTCAAATATTTTTCTATCTTCTATTTCTCATTACCCTTGTCTTATTGAAAATTCTTAAAAGTATACGGCAAAGTAGTGAATATATAGAACAAAATAACAAAGGTTTGGTAGAAAAGCACTTCTTTGGTCACAAAAATAATAGAACAAAATCAACTAATTTTAATAAGGGGGATGGATAAGCGGTGCATCGCCCACACATTTTCTCGTAACTGTCGTTGCTCATTACAATGAACCACTGCCTCAAAGTATGAAATGACTAGATTTAACAAATCTTCATTTTGTGTTTCATAATATGAAAAAATTGTCTATTTGCAATTCAAAATATATTTTCAGCATTTTTTTTTTTCTTAGCTTAAAAAATTGAAATGTTTTTACTTAACTTTCAGGTGGTGGTGGAAAAAGGAAGGGTAAAAGCAAAAAATGGAAGGAGATACTTTCATTCCCTCATATATCCCAATGTGCTGATATACGAAACAAAATCAGTGAGTATCATAATGGTAATTCAAATTTTTCAAATTACTAACTTAATAAACTACCATTAAAAATTAATTTTTTTATTAATAGTTACCCTGATTCACATAATTCAAAGGATCATGATTATATGCTTAATCCTTAAGTTTTCATAAACATTATTTTTAGGCAGTTGCAATTTCAGGCAACTTACTTAAATTTGAATACTTTTTTTAAAAAGTTATTGATAAAAAAAAAATTGCATTTATTTTGTACAATTTTTTTTAAATTCCAGACCAAGACTTCAACTATATATTTGACCAACAGCCATTAGGACGACATCTATTTATAGAGTTTTGCAACACCAAGGAACAGTATCAACGGTCTATTGGTTTCTTAAACGTTGTGGTAAACATTTAAGTTAAATTTGCTTTGCTTTAAGAAATAGGCCAGTAATGTAGATGGATTATATAGATTTTTATTTAAGATAGTTTTTTCCAAATAAGAAAATTTTTATTTGACATTTTCATTTTTAACAGCAGGAGTATGAAATAACACCTGAAGAAAAAAGACATGTAAAAGCTGAGGAGATAGTTGAGAAATTTTTAAGGCCAGATGTAAGTATTATCATTTTATTCCAATAGTATTAATGCTCTAAAAATATATTTAAAGAGAAACAGAATGACCACCTTTATTTAATAAAACTTTTATTATTTTTTTTCAGTCTGAAAATTATGTCACCCATGTCAATGGGAATCAAATCTCAGAGATTAAAGATATTATGGGCCAGAAAAAGTCATGTAAGGCCCTCTTTGATGATTGTGTCAAGTAAGTACTTTTTCATAATTTATAAATCATACTCTTAAAAAGACTTCTTTGCTTTCGAAATATTAAAGAACCACAATTTAGATCAAAAGATCATTTTGTTTTTCACTTGTTACTATCAAATAATGTAAGACACAGTAATATTCCTATAATTTTATAAAAAATTTAATCCTACACATTGTTTTAGAAATTTTATTTAACTATTTATATACATCCTTTCAAAATATTTTTATTTTACTGCAGTCTAAACCTTGATTGTTTAGACTCTGTATTTGTGACCCAAAATTTCTTGCCATGGGTGCACAACTAAATCATGAAAAGGCTGATCTTTCAAAGTTTAGAGAATCTTCAGTTAACCAATTTGAAAAATATGTAGTTAAAACTTACAATTGAAGCAAAAATAATCAAGATTGATCCATAAAAAAATAACTTGAATGCATAAATTTCATTTATTTTTTAAAGCTGGTTAATTAATTTAATAGCACATCATTCTAGCAATGTGAATTTTGTGGTTTAAAATGTGGCCATGGTTATTTTATTTTCAATTTTTTTTTAAGGTTTAAATTGATGCATTTCAAGGTTTCCTTTAATATAAATTGTTATTAAAGGTTTTGCCTCCATTTTTTAAAATTGAGCAGTCAGTATCTTTTGTCTTCTGCAGGTTAGTTCGAGAATACTTAAGCAAAGAACCATTTAATGATTTTTTAGAGAGTATGTACTTCAAGCGGTTTATGCAGTGGAAATGGTTAGAAAGGTATGAATCTCATTAAACTTAATTGTATCGACAAGCATTGCCAGAATGTCAATAAAATTTAGCAATATCAATAAACTAAAATTATATAATAAAAGTTAATCTGTTTTGGAATACATATTAAAATTTAACTAAAAATGATTACAATGTTAAACTGTTTTGGTTTCTCTTTAACAGTCAACCTGTCACAAAGAATACTTTTAGGATGTATCGTGTCTTAGGAAAAGGTGGTTTTGGAGAAGTGTGTGCATGCCAAGTCAGAGCAACTGGGAAGATGTATGCCTGTAAGAAACTGGAGAAAAAAAGGATCAAGAAACGAAAAGGCGAAGCTATGGCTTTAAATGAAAAGCTTATTTTACAGAAAATCAATTCTAGATTTGTGGTATGCTTTTTTTTCTCTTTTCATTTCTTATAAATATGTATTTTAATATTCTTCTTAAGAGTTTGTTGAAATGTATGGTTTTAAAAAAAAAATGATAATTACAACAAATTATCTAATGTCAATATTCAATATATTACAATTTCAGAAATCCAGATGTGCTTGTTAACTATAATTTAATACGTTTATTTAAAATACTGACAAATTTTTTAAAATGCTTTCCTTTGTTTCACTTTAGGTAAGCCTAGCCTATGCATTTGAAACAAAAGATGCGCTCTGCTTGGTTTTAACTATAATGAATGGAGGTGATCTTAAATTTCATATTCACAACATGGGAAATCCTGGTTTTCCAGAAGAACGTGCCGTCTTCTATGCAGCTGAGATTACTTGTGGTTTAAATGACTTGCACAAAGAGAGAATTGTGTACAGGTGAGATAAAAATGGCGCTTAAAGGAATTTTTATTTAAAATTTGCACTTTTAAACTAAGCAATGTTTCTTGATGCATATGTATTTTTAGCCGTTATATGGCCTGGGATGGCCAAAGCTTAGGTTTGTGTGCAGAATATTTTGTGCATGTGTTTGTAACCAATAAATAAATTTCATCCAATGCCATTAGCTCAAAACAATATATTTATAGAGTGTTTTATTTATTTCAGAGACTTAAAACCAGAAAACATTTTATTAGATGACAATGGTAAGTTCAGATTCATTCTTTTATTGACAGTACATAGTTAATGATAGTAGTAATAATCTGAAAATAGTGGGTCTTATCTTGATCAATTGTTGGAAGTGCGACTTATTTAAGATTTCATCTTTTTAATATTTTTTTTTTTAACTTGAGAATTTAATTTTTACCCTATAAATGTCAAATGCATTTTTCTGTAGCATCAAGCTATTTTTAGCATTTTTATATGCTTGTCAAAAATGACAAAATCCCTTCCCTTACAAGTACAAATTTTCTGAAAGTACATTGGACAAGGTATCTTATGGTATGGAAAGAATTTATATTATTTATGTTGATATTGACCGATACAGAGTGAGTACAAAATTTTACTACTCAACTTATGAATTCAACCAAACCTAATACTCCAAAAATTGTTAAAACTATCATACAACCAAGTTTTTTTAGATACGAGAAGCACTATTCTTTCAGAAAACTCTAGGTACTTCTATTGAAAATTGTAATATGGGTGAATTTTTTCATTCACTACCTTCAAATTTCTGTCATGCAAAATACAAGGGGGGAGGCACAAAATGAGTTCTAAAATTCCTTTTCAATTAAAGTCATTTAATTCATTTTTTATTAATTTATTTTCCAGAGCGTAAAAAGTTAACACAATCATAAATGACCATGAATCTCTTTGGGGTGGGTCTTTGGAATCCAATCTTGTCTTTTCTGTTCGATTTTCACCCTTTCCCAAATGAATTTGTCTGTAATAATACAACTATGACTAAGCTTAAGGACTAAAATTGTCAACATCTGACTCTTATGTTGCCATCTCCGCTAGGGCTAATAGTGTCCATACTAGCACATGGAATATCTCTGAAATTATTGCTTTCATTTTAATCCCTTTTAATAATTTCAATAAAGAAATTCTGTGTTGATTTTGCAATCTAGAGGGTGACCCTCTGCAGCATCAGGCATTATGGCGGTAAAAAACTGACAAAATTTCACACACCATTAATCACAAAAAAAATCCCTGATAAAAGCATGTTAACACATATTAATGGGATTAGGAAGCAGACTAATTTATATAGAGTGATTTCCAGTATACGTTAAATGATTTGTATTTTAATGATGATTTTGCTAGCGTGCGCAGTGGTGACACCACAAGCGTGTAACGCCCAATGATTGGCTATTATGACAGTTATAGGGATAACGTTATAATAATTTATACAAACTCCTGCATTTTTTAAAATGTGCCACAAAAATTCAATCACTGTTTATTTTAAAGGCATACAAAAAGTATTTACATTTTTTCACAGGTCATGTTAGAATTTCAGATTTGGGTTTAGCAGTAGAAATCCCTGAGGGGGAGTCCATACGAGGACGGGTTGGTACAGTTGGCTACATGGGTAAGTCAACATATTTTTAATTGTGATAAAGGTAATTTTATTCAATCAAGATAACTTTCTGTAATTTCAAGTTGGGCATTATATTCAATGGGTCGGCATTAATATTCAATGGGTCTGCCAGTAATCAGGAAGTAAATACCAGCATCACTTGAGTAGCCTTAAAATAGCATACCCTTGATGCCAAAAGCTGATACAAAGTAATTAATTATTTGAAACAAAACCACCTCTTAACTGTCCATATTTTATTTTATTGCCAACCCTTCCTTACTGAAGGCAGCATTTACTGTTAAAAATAAGATATTGAAACTTGTTTTTGCAATTGTCTCCGTTTAAATATACATTTTTTGATGAGCTATTTAAGTAAAATATACTGTAACTTAAACGAAGATCTTTAATAAGCATACTTATTAAATTATTATTGATTGCAGCTGCTAAGCAATTTTCTATATTTAAAAAAAAATGGAATTGATTTTCGTTCAAGAGTCATAATATTTTAGCGAAAGGGATTAAACGATTCATTAATAAAATGTTGTGTAAATGCACATTAAATAAACTGTTTTGAAGTAATTAGGTGAAGGGATGTTGTTGTCGGGGTATTTACAAGGGATTGTGGGTGTTGTGCGGATTGCAAGGTGGGTTGAACATATTTGAAGTAATATAAATATCTATCTTTGAGACACCAATCATTTTAAACCCTGCAATAGAGGAAAAGCATGTAAATGATGCCAAAATACATTTTTTGTTGTTGTAAATTTGAATATTTTCTTTACTTCTATTTAATTTTTAGCACCTGAAGTAGTAAAAAATGAAAGATATACCTACAGTCCTGACTGGTGGGGTTTAGGGTGTATAATATATGAAATGATAGAAGGAAAGGTGAGTTTCCTTGAGTTTTGTATTTTTAAGAAAGTTTTTCTGAATTTACTGCCATTTAAAGTTTGGAAACGTAACTTGGCAAATGTTTTATTATCTAGATATTTATAAATTTATTAAATAGAACCATGAAAAGAACTTCCCTTGATGCGGAATCTCGAATATTCTTTCAAGGCTCGTTAGTTAATATTTTTATGATCAATTAAGAATGAATGGTTAATTGTAGTATTACAATTACTCTCATAAAAATTTAAGCTTATTTCATTATACATGTCTCTGATTGAATTTTTAACTTTAAAAAAAATATATTCATAGGCTCCATTTCGGGCTCGAAAAGAAAAAGTAAAACGTGATGAAGTTGACAGACGCGTGAAAGAGGATCAGGAATTGTATACTTCCAAGTTCTCAGACGATTGCAGAAGCATATGCACAGATGTAATCTTTTATTTTATTTTGTTGTTTAGTTTATTACTGTTCTATGGTTGGTAGCTTGAAATCATGCAAGAAATGTATACAATTGAAATACCACTTAAGTCTTGCATAAACTTTTTTTAAAAATTTGTATCCAATCATGCACATTAAATGTCATTCACTCTACCTACCCTTTTATCCATCCTAATTCATTATCCATCCTGATTCTCCGTCCATCCTAATTCTCCCCCTCTTTCTGTGTGTCTGACCTTCACAGCTTTCTACTTAAGGTCTCCTTATCTTTTTCTCTTTTTGCTAGAACATATAATGATGATTTTAAAAAAAAAATATTTATGTTAATCTCAACAGCTGTTACAAAAATCCCCTTCAAATAGACTTGGCTGTGGTGATGAGGGGGGAGAGGAAGTGAAATCTCATCCTTTTTTCAGAAATATAAACTTTAAGAGATTAGAAGCTGGAATGGTGGACCCACCATTTGTACCTGATGTAAGTGAACTCATTATGTTTTCTTTTAACATTACATTAAATTAGATCAAAGTCATAAAAAGTCAGATTAGTACTTAACAACATAAAAGTAAAAGGAAACTGCATAATATAAAAAAAATTGTTTAATTGTGTAGCATAAATTTATCAACACAATTTTTCTTCTAATTATTCATGGGCTAAAACACTATCAATGACAGACACTGAATTGAATCATGAGAGAGAAAATTTTATTTCTTACTTTATCTTATTAATTCCAAAAAATAAAAGTTATTTTTAAAAAAATCTTACAGCCTAGGGCAGTCTATTGCAAGGATGTCCTAGATATTGAGCAGTTCTCTACTGTGAAAGGTGTCAATCTTGATGCCAGCGATGATTCATTTTATAGTAAATTCAACACAGGCAGCGTATCAATACCATGGCAAAACGAGGTGATTAATAGATTTAGCATGTAGATTTGAGTATTTTACGTTTTGTTAATTTATACTTGGAGTTAAAAATCAATCTGTATTTAGGCCAGTAATAAACTGGGGACATAACAATTTAATGTGAGTTATATCTCTAATGTTAAAATTCACAGATGATTGAGACTGAGTGCTACAAAGAATTAAATCTGTTTGGGCCTAATGGAGAGCCAACACCAGATTTAATCGAAGGTTTGCCACCACAACCACCTCAAAGAAGCTTCTTTGATAAACTTTTTAGGAGAAGACGGGTAAAAATACAATTTAACACTTGCAAAATAATCTGAGCTATTTAATTGCTTGCATTTATAGTTAAACGTGGCAAAGGAAACGAATGCTGTGAAATAAGGAGATTTTTAAAAAATATTCAGCTGTTTTTACAACCTGTTTGATACATATTGAACAAAAAATCATTTCAGAGCAACATCTCAAACACAATTTAGGAATATGGAAGGAGTGAATAATAATGAGCATTACTCAGTAATTTAATCAATCAAACATGTAAAATGTTTATTTCTTGTTCTTTTCAGCATGATGAAAATCGTGTTTAATGCCTAGTCACCACTCAAAGACTACTTTCTCAAATATTGTACGGGTGATAAGTTTTACCTGTGTCGTGACAAAGAGTTCAGCTGTTACATATATATGAGTTAGTGTTTTGTGCTTGCCAGTTATGTGTTTCAAAGTGATGAGGCATTTATTTTAGAAGTAATGCATTTTTAAAAAAAAATCAGCTGAGCTGATAGTTATGGAATGCATTTTTGAAATTTAATAAATGCAAAGAACAATTATAAATAGAAAAATGTGTGAGAAGTTGGTCATTACAACTGAGCATTTTATTGAATTGACTAATAGTAACTTTGACAAGTCAAGGAAATTATGGAGACATCTTCAACTGTTTCTGTATCCTTATGTTGAGGAGAGATTTTTGCTTTAAAATAATCATGCAACAAAATTAGGTTGAATTCAGTAAACTTAAAGCAGAATATTATTGTGATCTCACAACACTAATCTGTAAGTGGGAATTTCCAGGATTTCAGTACCAAAATTGATCAAGGCTAGACGAACAAAGGATTGATCAGGCCAGTGACATTTCCATTTGAATTCTAATTAGGCGGGAACACTTAGCAAAACTGAGCATGTACTCCAGCTCTATATGTTCTTGTTTACTGTTGAAGGCTTTAACTCCTGCTCTATTTTAATGTGAAAACTTCATTGTAATGAACGCTTTAGGTTATCAATGTAAATTGGATTGCTTCTCAAATATAGTACACTGACAAACTTTCAATGGTATTTTAGATATAACATGAGAGAGATTTCCCTTTTTTTGCATTAATTAATAAAAGCCTTGTTTTTTAATACTTTTATTATAAAACCTTGAATTTAAATGAAGTTAAGATAAACATCTGCTTAGGATGCTTTCTTTACCTCATAAAATTTACTCCATACTTTTTGGGGGTACTTTTTAAGAGTATCCTTTTTAGAATGCAAATTAGGAAATAACAAAGTTTTTTAAGCAGTGGGGATGTTTTTCAAGTTAACTCATTCCCCCCTGCAATGCTACTTCCGTATTTAATTTATTTGCCTGAGAAAGGGAAGTAACCCCGTTTTGAAATTGTTTACATTTTTTAAATATTTATTTAAGCTACTAAATATTATTTAATTTTAATGAATTAAGAACAAATGCAACAAAAAATGAATAAGGTTTAATATAAATATAACATTAGCGGGGAAAAAATAAAGAACAATGACCAAAAAATCGATTTTCGGCACCTCGGACGAACACATGCTACATATAGACGCGCCATACTAAAGCACACATAGTTTTAAAGCGAAACAAGATAAAAACTTCCGGTTTTTAAATTAAAATCACGCTGAACCACGCCATCGCCGGAAGTCTCGAGGGATGCGAGATTTCATTGCTATTTTTAAATAGATATGAGAGAGGTGTGTCGCTATGCGCCGGGACGCATTTGGACGCATTCATTAAATTAAAATCACGCTGAACCACGCCATCGCCGGAAGTCTCGAGGGATGCGAGATTTCATTGCTATTTTTAAATAGATATGAGAGAGGTGTGTCGCTATGCGCCGGGACGCATTTGGACGCATTCGGCGGAACCCGTAAAAGACGCATTTAGTCGCAAACGTCGGGAATGAGTTAATTAATTTTAGTCATGTTTTTTTGTGATTATTGTGGACTCTTTCTCTCAGGTTTTTTTTTATTTTAACTAAAAAATTGTTGAGGTACTCAAAATCAAATCACTCTTTATAACTCAAATACCTCATCACAAGAGAACAATTTCAGAACTTTTCTGTAATGCAGCATTAAAAGGGCTTTAATGAAAGCTTTGATCACATGATTTCATTTTTACCTGGTTTCTTCTAAAATCTTTTTAATTGAAATGTTGTTTATCTCTTTTGCTTTTACTTTGTATACTGATATAAAAAAAAGTGCTGTCTATTGTCATTTTTTTCCCTGAATCATAAGCATTTAGGCTACTCCAGCATTATGTCAGTTTAGATTGTTTCAGAATTGCTTGGAGAAAATTTAAATCATATAAATATTATGTGATTTATAAGTTGTCTGTTTTATTACTAACCTTATTTGATTGATCATTGGTATTGCTGATTTGGTTTATGAATTAATAAGTGTATATTTTGTTGGATTTTCTCCTATGTTTTTTGGTTGAAGATGGGTCATTTTTGTGATCAAATTTAAATCATTGAGTCTTGTGATGGATGTCAGTTTTGTCAGTTGCTTGAAAGCATCATAACTCAGCCATGCATAAGTTGAAGTCTCAGGTTTAACAAAAAAGAAACAGTCCATCCAAGTTGAACTTTTATATGAGAGTTATAAGTATCCCATGCTGTCAGGACATTCAGTGCAAGACTTGGGTCCGAGAGCTGTTATATTTCTGATTGCGTCTTGGTTGAAAAGGGCATTAAGGTGCTAGAGCTTGAAGTCTTTTTTACAAACTAATCATTTAATTTGCTGAGCTACAATTATGAGCAATTTAAGAATACCTTTTTTCACCCAAGTTTTTTTAAGTTGTTAAATAATAACTTGCCATTTCAGCTAATTTTGTAATTTATAGTTCAATTTGGATGTGTGCATTTGGTGAGAAAAAATAAGGCTCTTATTTCCAAAATCAGCATTCAATTATTTCAAGGCTTTAATCTTTTAGCTACTAAAAATTGTTTTCCTTTTATTTTGAGTTAAAGATTTATAAATCAGTTCATTTTTTTCTTACATCTAAATTTACTGTTGATATTAAATAAGTAAGTTGTATTTTAGAGTACTGATGCATGCCAATTTTGACAAAATACTCAACGGTTCCAATGGGTATTTAAAAACACTCTTATCATGGCCTATGTTAATGTGACTTTCTTTGGTTATTGCGGTTCTATTTAAATACTAATTATGCATTTTTTAAAACACAAAGATGTATTTAGTAAGATGGAAAAACTACGAAAGTTCAGTTGGACAGTTATTTAAATTTACCCGTACTGTTACTATTAAGGGATGTCAAAGCATTAATAATTGGGAAGTTCTTGAAGTCACTTGTAGGATCTGGTTTCCAACTTGTCAACTCCAATCCACACAATGAAGTATAGGAAATGGTAGCATAATAAATTTGAGACATCTACCACAACTGACCCAAAGTTGAACTATTTGCAAACCCATATGTGTGTAGGAACTTGCCTGTGCTCATTACAAAAAATATATAATTAAAATGGCATCATTATCAAATTAAGTGAACCTATTGTTGGTGGTTATTTTTATATTAAATATCTCAATGCTGTTTATTGAAACTGACAATCTTGGTTGATACCTGTTCTATTTTGCCATCATATTCTCAACTACCCAACATGATTAGAAATCCATGCAAAGTGCGGTAATTCTTGGTTAAAAAGTAAAAGTTATTTTTATTGCAATTTTTTTTTCTATAGAGCATGTATTTATATGATTTATCTTTAGAACTTTATTTCTTAAGACATAAAGAAACAAGTTTGGTAAATGTTAATGTTTTGATCTTATAATGACCGTATTTTAAATCTGTTATAAAAAAAAAAACTCATGAGGTTGTGTTGCCCATTGCTCATAATTTTTAATTTAAAAGAAAAAAAGATCTATGAAGTTACTCAATCCCTTCAAATCTGTTCATTTTATATAACATTCTCCACTTTCACTATATTTTGTTGAACATAAGTGTGTGAATCAAGCAGTCAGTCGTATGGCTACAGTTGAATTGAAATAAATTTGTCATCAGTCTGGGAATTACCCTTGGCCAGGCTCAGTTATTTTAGACATATCCATGTGTGTGAAAAATCAGCTTTATTACCTCACACGTAGAGGGTAATTATTGCGATCTGGGTGCATTGTTGTTTTTTTTTTTTCACTCCTTGTAGAAGTGATTACCTTTCATTTGATGAACGGATTAAGCCAAGTTTTGTTTTGTTTTGTAATTTTCACTTTTCAATAAATGAGAAATAGAAAAAAAAACAACTCTCATTGCATTAAGTCATTAAGTTAGCTCATCCTATAGAAATGAAATGAACGATCAGTAATCAGCTATCAAATATTCATGAGAAACAATAAGGAAATCTTAGAAAACAAATTGAGCTAAGCAATGTTCTATTATAATGCCTATAGTTATTGGTAAACTACAAAATCACCTTTTCTCCTTAAGACAAAAATATTTTAAGTGTTAAAAACACATTTACCTAAATTTATTCTGTTAACTGTGTATCTAACAAGTCAGGGTAACTGCTCATATATTTTGCTGCTACAAATAATTGTGAAATACCAAATGGTTAACATTGAAGTGTTCTGTATAGTTTTTGCTAATAATTGTAAATCCAATGTTGAAAAAATATTATAATTACAGAATTCTTAAAATTATAAAGAACTCACTTAATGCTTTTTATTTGTGTTTGATTCCAAGATTAAAACTTTAAATAGAATAATTGCATGCAACAAATTTCTGTCGGACTGAGTTAAATTTAGTATGTAAATAATGACCGGATTTCACAGCATGTATTATTATAGTGAACTGTTGGATTTTATAATTTGTTACTATTTGTTTCCGAAAACTAGATTTTCTTCAGAATTTTTAGTCTCTTATTTCAAAAAAACAAAATTTTTTCTGTTGGTGAGGACTAGGTATAAGCATTTAATTAAATCTGCTGTAACTAAGTTGCTTCCCATTTGATTTCATGCATTTCAAACCTGTTGCACCCCTTACTACTTACAGCTTTGAAATTAATTAAAGAAACTTTAGTCATAACACAAAGGTTATAAATTATATATTTAGTGTTATTTTTGTCAC